CCATCCCTGTGTCATTACAACTGCCTCATTTAAAGGGCAGTTTTGACCAGAATGACACATTTGTGAGTCACACAATGGGGAACACGTTGTGACTTTGCTCAGAAATCTAACTTGCTTTGGCTTCCTGTCAGCATGGCTGAAAGACCAATACCTGACACGGCACAATGTCCATGTGTGGCAAGAGGGACCCAGTTTAACCCCCTGCACCCCTCAGGGCCTGCTCTCACCCAGCTAAGCATGCAGGGCCAGTTAAAAGCCACACCTGCACGCTCTGTATGTGTGGTTGACAACATGCACGTAGCCTTTATGCATGCATGTTTCCTTGCAGAGTCTGAAACCAGACTGATAAACACCTCTTCAAACTGGTACTCAGCCTCAATCTCTGTTATCCAAACATTTCATCAAAGGCCACTTACCTACAAAGCAGACACCTCAACCCAAGCCAGACAAGCCACATACCAAAAGGCTTTTGAAAACAAGGAACCAACCCTGAATTTATTCGCTAACAGTGAAGGGGTGACAGCCATTATTTTATACCTGCAATATTTTTCAAATTCTGAAACTCTCATAAGGTGATTACACCATTAATTAGCAAAACATTGTCATCCCCGAGGTGCCAACACAGCAGCTGTTTCAGCTGAACAGCAAAGAAAAGCCAAGAGGGCAAGGTAACAAAGCTGGGAGTGCTCCAAGCACCCCCACACTGCCAGCCCACGATAGGGAAGTGCTCTTGTTCCAACAAGGGATGACTTCACCTCTCCCTCTACCACTCCAGCCTCCCAGAGGGCTGTACCCCCTCTTCCACCTGGGTGCATGAATGGGGCTCTGACAAAGAGCCACCTGTTGCAGCCTGAGCCCTGTATTTCTCAGGATATGGGTGCTCCCAGGAAGCTGTTCATGCACAGCTGATCAACCCAGAAGGGATCTCTCTGGGCATTCATTCCTCTGACCCTCTGCAAAAGGGAGATCATAGAAACTACCTCCATGATCTCCCCTTCCAACTGCAGCATGAAAAGAACCAAAATAAAATCCCAGGAATATACCCTGTGATGCAGAGGCTATCACAGCTTTTTGATCCATTACTCTGTGAACAGGGCTTCACTTCTAGCTTAAGCATGTCTGGCTAAAACTGCAAAGTGCAGAGCCCTACTCCTGAACTCAGAGCTGGGCAGAGCAGCCCTCTAGCATCAGCTTCAGTTCTTCACCTTCTCCTTCAGGCACCTCCAGACCACGGCTGCACCACCACAAACCTCCCTGAAGGGTCAGTGATCAGGCCCAGGTTGATGCAGCTGATGGTAAGGGACAAGATGACGGACTATGGTGACCAGGGGAGCAGGCTAGGACCCCTCCCTTAAGTAAGGACATTTGGATGGCCATCAGTGAGGTCCTACACACACTGACTAATGTTGTCATTATAGTACAAGAGTTCTACTGTCATTACATTGCAAGGGTTCCATATTGCTAGAGTTTCATACCTCCTTGATGTTTCTCAGAGACAGCTCCTCTAGGCACTGACTCTTTCTTGTCCTCACAGTAGCCAGCTCTGACTCCAGTTCTCCTCAACCACCCAATCCACTCTTTTATAACACTCTTCTGATTGGCTACAGGTGTGGCCTGTTAACATCAGGCCTGCTGCTAATCCTTAATAATTGGCTCAGCTGCAACTCTTTAGGGGGTGAGATTACTTTCTATACTACCTTTATTTACTTATGTTCCAGCCCCCTACAGACTAAGGATGCCACTTTGCACCACAGCAAGTTTTGCACCCAGGCTGCAGATAGGTGGGCAGGAGGGGGATGATCCTCTTCACAGCACTCCCCCTTTCAGATAACAGCTCTGACCACAGGCTGTGGCTGTGATGTCCTTTGTCACACCAGGCAGGGCCTATGGTGTGACCCTGCTGGGGCTCCTCCTTCTCTGGAGGCCTGCAGCAGGCACTGGAGGCACAGCAGCACTGCCCTCCCAGAGAGGGATTCCTGGCAGTGGGGCAGTTCCTGCAGAGCCCACCTCAGGCTGTCATGTTCTGCCTCCCACGGGTTCCTGCAGTCAGGAGCAAGGGAGAGAGATCTCCTGAGTAGTACCTGTGGCAGCAGATCTAGCGTGGAGGAGGCTGTATCCTCTTAAGAGGGCTGGGAGCTAAATTCTGCTGAACTAAAGACATTTTAATACCATTTTTGATATTTTTCATCCTGCTCTGTCACCTCAATACCATTACCATCCTTCCATTTGCTTAGAAACATCCCTGGTGGGACAGAAACAGCTCTGGGTTTGGGGCATCCAGCCCCTGAGGGTGCCTGAGCAGTGCCAGCAGCACAACAGCAATCTGCCCACCATTCTTCCCACAAGAAACTGGGCTGAGGGATCCTGTTCATCTTCAGAGCATATTACAGAGCAGCAATGGCAAATCACCCATGGAAAGTCTGCAAGCAGCCATGGGGCTCTCTGGTTTATGCTGGGTTATGCAGATTCAGGTCAAGAAAAAGCCCAGAGTTTGCTTAAAGACATTTTGTCTTCCATGCTCAGGAGAAGAAAATGAGGCTATCATTTACAGGAAGAGGAAAGGCCTTACATTGCTCTGAGAAGGAGCAGGATCCCACACACTTTTCAATCCTTCAAAGGATTTGGCCATCACGTTCTCAAAAGCAGTGATAGGAAAAAGAAAAAGCAAGCTGTTAATAAAATATGGAGACAGCTTAGGAATTTGCCTGTGAAAGTCCATGATGAAAAATCTCCAGCTGAGATCCAGCCTGTACTTTATAGTCCCCTGTGCTCTGCTTCATCTCTCCCTAAATGCATGGGGCACGGGGCTTCTGTCACTCCTTGAGCATGACTGCTTAGAGTCTGAGAGGTTTCACTGGTCTGAGGAAGCTTTTCCTTCACATCCAACTTAAATGTGCCATTTCTTGAAGGCATCCCCTTGTCTTTATACTCCAGCAAGCAGAACAAGTGTAAATTAAATGGAAGACACATGAAATCTTTATAAAGCCCAGTGTTTTCCTTAGCACGAAAGTTCTTTCATTTTAGAGTGGAAGGGGTCTTTACTCTGTGCTGTATTTTCCCCATCAGAAAATGAAGAAGAACATAAATTTTCCTCATGACTTGAATTTAGCTTAATCAGCAGCCCCCTGCTGATGTAATTCAATCCAATGAGATTTTTCTTTTTTTTTTTTTTTTTTTTCCTGGTGAGCTGCTACGCCTTTTCCCCTCCTCCCACTAATTCAGGCATGGAAAACAAGGGAGGAATTAGACAGAACTTACTATCTATCAAGCTCTTCAGACTGGGCAGGAATAACATTTAAAATATAAAAAGCAAATTTATGAAGTCTTTTCCTCCCCAGAGACTGCCACAAAAATATTCCTTGTTTGTCACTGAGAATGAACCATTTTTCTCTTTCATTTCAGCTTTCTGTCACATATTTCATTTTGGCTGCCCCTTCTGTCTTTCAGCTAGGGACATAGGCTGCTAACACAGAATCACAGGTAACTCAACAACAAAATGCCTGTATTATCTTTCTTTTTTTTATCCTAGTCTGTCAGGTAATTGCAACTCTAAAAGCTTTTGCATATTTACCACAGAAACATGTCTCTCCTGGAGGATGGGACTGTCATCAGGTAGAATATCTTATTTAATAAGCCTCTTCTAAGGTATAAACTAGGGCTGGGGATTTTTTCCTGGCCTCCTTCAGAGCAAAGGACAAGCAGATAAAGATCAGCTGCTGCAGTGCTACACTAAGTTCCTGTTCCTGTGAAAATTAACCCTCTCCAAGCTCAGAGTTCAGGTAGGCTTTGCCACTGTGAAATTAATGAAGTAGGAAAAGGGACTGTTATCAACTCATGTTGGTTTTTCAACCCCAGTCCTCACCATGTATGAGACAGATCTCTTCTCTATTTACAAACAGATGAACTGCCCTGCTTTTTTTGTAACCCATCTGATGAGCCGTGGATGCTGCCAGGACTGATTCTCATTAAATCCATCATGAAGGAGGATTGGATTTTCTCTCTTTGCCCTTGTTTCACAGAGGTACAACAACAAAAAAGTGGTCTGAACATTTCTAAATTCAGCTGTTATCTAAAGGCAACTCCCTTCACCCCCTTCTGTATTTCCCCCCACGCCTGAAGCAGCAGTAGACCTGCTTTTCTTGGTCCCTACGATGCTGAGTCAAGCTGACTGCTACCAAAGAGTGGGTCTGAGAACATCTGCAAGAGAGACTTTGTGTCTTGGAGTCAAGACAGAGGGTGAGGATGCCCTGCCAGGGGCTATGAAATGAGGCTGCTCTGATGAAACTGTTCAACAGGCTGAAGAGGAATATACCTGGTTCACACATTTCACTTAGGGCACACCTGTGCTGAGGTCACAGCTCCATGCTAGCATGTAACAAAGCACTGTGAGTGGGAATCAACAAACAACAGGTCCTCACTCCAACACCCAATCACTGACAATACTTGCCTGGAGGAGAGCTAAGAGCCAGCCAGAAGACTCCCATTGATTTAGACCTGTGTGAAAACTAACCCTTGACAAACCATCTTCTGCATTCATACAGTTTTCCTGTGGGCCAGCCTTACACTTGTTAAGTGCCTGGTTTCATACATGAGTACTGACTGGACAACACATTTGAGATTGTTTGATTGACTGTTTAGGTTAAAGCAGTTCTGAAACCAAGAACCTACATCCATTGACCTGGAATGGAAATGTGGACATCCCCTCTCCTGGAAACAGTTCCAGAGAGAACAAACTGATAGAAGTGAAAGACTTTCTAAACTGTAACCGGCAAACTCTATTTTTGCACCACTTAAAGATTATTTACAAACTTACAATGGTTTTCAATGCAAGTAAACTCCAAGAGGTTAGGACATAATTTTTTCTTACCATCAACAAGCTATTCTAAGAGCCATCTCTGTTTAGAATTAAGGGGTGAATCTCACTCATTTAAATGAATGCAAGAAAATTCCCATAGGTAAAATACTTCTCCTAGTAGTGTTACATGAGTCCAGTCTCTTACCTGTAGTATCTAGATTGAAGGTAAGTAGAACACACAGCCTTAGACACATGGCTAGCTGAACCAAAGTCTATGACCTTGACCCTATATGGCTGTCGGGATGGGTCTACCAGCATGATGTTCTCTGGTTTGAGATCAGCATGAATCAGTCCCAGGCTTTTCAGCTTCATTAGGGCAGTTGCTACCTGCTGGAGAATTGGTCGAATGTACTTAAGGGGCAAGGGACTGAATTTATTTTGTTTTAAGAAATCATAGAGGTTCTGCTCCAACATTTCAAATACCAAGCATGTGTGATTCTTGTGCTGGAAGCATTCATAAGCACGGACAAAGTTGTAGTCATCCGCACTTTCCGTGCTCAGCCGAGCCAGGATGCTCACTTCAATCTGGCCTTGCCGGGCATAAGAAGGGTGATTTTTTAGGATCTTGATAGCCACAATCTCATTAGTGCCACGTTTCCAGCATTTGACTACTTGTCCGAAGGTTCCACGGCCAAGAAACTCTAACACTTCGTACGTGTTGGTCATGGAACAGAGCACCTCATGTTGCACCAGCTGGTAATCCCCTTCACTGTTGGAGCCACTGTTTTTGGAAGTGGCCGTGGAGGTGGTGGCGGTGGCTACAGTGGCCCCACTGGCATTGTTCTGAATCATTGGCGGATGCTCCTCGATAATCTGCACGCTGCTTGTGTTCTCAATCTCCTCGCTCTTGCGCTTAAGTCCACATTTTTGGTAGGTGTCCAGAAGGCTCACAGTGCTGCGACGCATCAGGTTGTGCGGCCCGCCCAGCGTTTGCCCAGACACCGCGACCACGCCGGAGGTGCTGTTGGCAGATGTAACCACGATGTGCCCCGTGCTTGCTGGGAAGATGATGGTCTGCTCGTAAGGGATGCTGGGGTTGGGGATCTGCAGGGAGGCGTTGACGGCTGCTGCGGCGGCTGCTTGGGAGGACTGCACGTTCTTGCCCTGGTTGTAGACTTTGCTGTGTGTGCCGTACCCAGTCATATCCCAGTTCGAACTCGGCTCCACTTTCAGTTTCTTCACGCTACAGAAGGCACTTGACTGAAGGGTATGAGGAGAGAAAACTTGCACATGCGAGGCCATACCTGCAATACAACATCAGAGTGAAACCACTGTGTCAAGATGCTTTCCCCAGCTTTTTTCATTTGCCCAGTGGCAGGAAAGGGAAATGGGATACAGGCTTCAGATACATTACATGCACACACACAAAAATCAACTTCTTCCAGAAATACGTATTTGACACAAGTAAAATATTATGCTCTAAAATAAATCCTTACCCCAGATTGAACTATACCAACATAAAGATTTCTGCTCTCTTGCTCTCCCCCTTTTCATTTTTAATGACAGGAATGTGCATGTTATTTTTACCTCCCCTGCCTAAAGAGACTCCTATTCCCATTGTCTCCAGGAATATATGTAGCTCTCTGGAAGAACTCATGTCAAATACTGCAAAGTATTCTGACTACAGAAGCCAAATCTCAAATCCTCAGGCTCATCCAATCTTAAGCAGTTTGGTGGATCTGACTTAAGCCCTCCACTTGTGCCCATAAAACCACTGTGTACCTTCTGGCCTGCACAGAGTGAAGATGGGACCAGGAGATGATATACTGTGAGCAAATGGAGATGCACAGATAAAGCTGAGGAGCCAGAACAGAAGAAGATGATGTTTCAGATTGCTTGCCAACTCTGTGAGTGGGAATTGTGCACAATGCTAGTCTGTGCTCAGGGACACTGGAGATGGGAGTTACACAACATGAGCTTCACTGTGTGCTGTCAGTGCTCCCAGATTTCTAAAATTTTGTTCATCTATTCTTATTCACAGTGACAATACCATTACCGGGAAGCAGATCCCCTGGAAATGAACAGCATTGTTTATGAAGCAACATACACATTAGCATGTGGCAGAATTAGCTCCTAATATAGCTTTATTTCCACAGGAAAGACAAAAACCTATTTTAATGCAAGCTTATTTGGTTTCAGAAGAGTTAATGATCTTCTAAATCTTTTTTTAAAAAAACCCAGACCACCAAAAAACAACCCCACAACCTCATAACCAAAGTGAAAATAATGCATCACTGAGACAGACTTACTGAAGAATTCTGAGTAATATTCCACTGAAACAGAAAAAGTGCCTATTCAGAGAAGAAAAGATGTGGTGCATGGGGAAGGGGACAGCTAAGTCCTGACTCGCTGCCAGCTTTCCCTCCCCAGGGTAGGGATAGTACTGCTGGGACAAACATTTTGTGAAGAACACAAATCCATGGGGACTTCTGGGGAAGGAATCAGCACCCGGCAGGAGTTAGAGCAGAAAGGCACAGCCTCCTTCACCCTTCTATCTGTCATCAGTGTTTCTTTTTAATAAACCAGAATGACTAGGGAAGAAAAAGACAATATGCTGAGCTGGCACCATTATTGAATTATTAAGCACAAACATAACCTTGACTTGTTTTCAACTTAAAAAAGTTAAAAGCTGAATGAATGCTTCAGTAACAAAGCCACAACAAACCCTGCAGTGCACATGGATGACTTCTTCATGTGGAGGCATGACAGTATCTGACTTGGTCTCCTCATACTTCACTAGTCCCTGTTCCTCTTCAGAAGATTTTCTGGAGCTCATGTGTACATAGACACACTCACACACAGGCATGCATAAACTTACTCATATAGAAAAATATGAATGTCACTCCACACTCACAAAGCTCGGTAGGCAAGTTAACAGATCTAAACACACCCAACTCTCTTTTTCCACTTAATTCCCAGCAGCCCAAAGGCCAGGAGGGGCTCAGGAGAGGGGTGCTGTGGCAAGCCAAAACCTACAATGAGTAACTACTCAGAAGTAACAGGCCAAGCAATCTCTCCACTTTGCTTCAGCACCCCTGCCTTCACCCTTTCAGCAGTGATGAATTTCTGAGGACAGAGCAGATGCAGAAGAAAACCCCTTCAGGACACATGGGGAAACCCTCCCCTGGGCTTGAACACAGCACACAAAACCCCACTGATCCCAGTCTAGCAAGGAAGCCCTGCAAATCATAGAAACCATAGCATGCTCCACTCTGCAGACATGACTCCTGTCTCTAAGTGGATTTAGGATTGTTTACTGTTGTGCCTTTTACCCCCTGCTCCCCCAACCTCCTGGGCTGCAATTTCCAAGGTTGCTGCAACTGGATGCTCAGATACCCTTCAGCTCCTTGCCCTGCTGGAGAAGTACCTTCTCTGCTCTCTCCTTTCCACAGGGCAACGATGCTGTCACGAATGCCATGGCATGTGGTGGGTGGTGAGCTCAGAGAACCACAGCAGGGCTACTCAACTTGTCATCCTGGACACAAAGATTGTGTGTGAGTGAGCCAAAACCATGTTTGTTTTTCCACTGATTAAGAAGAATCACAGTGTTCCTTCGAGTACAGTACTGACCTGCCTGGAGAGAGGGGGTGGTTTGATGTATGTTTTCCCCCTGGACGCAAATAATATGGCAGATGTAATTGGTAACATATTGTGGATCTAGCAGAGGTGTAATTTATAGTTTTATGGCTTTCATTCCACGGCGTGCTTGAGCAATCTCTCTTCGTAGAAAATGAAAAGGGGAAAAATGACTGACGCAGAACAAGGAGAGACGTTCTTCCTGCACTCTCCTCTAAAGATAACACCAAAAGACTGAGGCATGGCAAATTAAAGTCAAGGATGTGAAGCACAGCAGCTGCAACTTTCTCAGTGCCACTGTACAAATCAGGATCATCGCCACCATTAAGGGACAGGCTTTCAACTGGTGCAAACTGGCAGGGCTCCACTCGATATCAGCTGACGCTAAAAACAAGGTCAGCAGTCACTCAACATTGTCAATGTCAGATGGCTGCTGCCTGTGCCCTTTGGTGAAACGAGTTGTTGTTAGGGACTGGTTTCCACATCAACAGCCAGCCCCTTGCTGTCCCTGAAACACTGCTGGCAGCCTCAGCAGAGGACAGGAGCAGGGGATAAACACTGACTCACCCCAAAAACGGAGGGGATGAAAGAAGCAGTGCTTCTGTGGATAAAGCGAGGAGTTCGGACTCCTCTGCTGCCGGTGCTGCCCTCCTCAGAGGTTACATCTCATCACAGAAAAGGTTTTTTCTTTTTCTCTAAAAAAAGAACTATGAAATCTTCTTCCTTACATCCAAAATTATTTTCTCATGTTTGAGGTTTTAAGGGCATGCATTGTAAGGAAAATAACTCAGTGAGTTCTTCAGCACAGTCCGATACCAAGAAATTACAGGCTGATTGACAGCTTGGTGATGGGAAAAGGCGGCTTCTGCAGAAAAGTAATTTTTATTGCAAATTTTCCTGTGCAGTTAATGCGAGAAAAACACAATCCTAAATTTCCTGAGGACACAATAAAACTGTGCTGATGGCATGTTGTTTCTTTCAAAAAGGATTTTTGCTCCATGGCAATAGCAGGAATAGTAATAAATGTGAATAAAAGTTGGATGGTTTTGTTACAGGAATCAAATTCCTCATTACAGCCTGTAATATGATTTACACCTTCAGCCTTTTGATTACACAGGCTGACAACAGCTTGCCACAATATCCACGAGGGAACAAGCCAGCAGTAATGGGGTGAATCACACCACCCAAGTCCAGTGGCACCAATGTCTCAGAGACAGTGGGAATCACCCCCAGGGACTATTCTTGCTCCTGGGGTCCTGGAAAGACAGAGGGGCCATAAGCTGTGGAGGAATGGAAAATGGGATGTTTCACTTGGGAGAAGTTCTCTTAACCCCCATTCACAGGTCTGACAAGAAACCTCCTGCGCAAGGCTGGGCCTCTCATATCACTTTCCTTCTCTGCAGGAAGATCCTAGCAGTCACCTTGCTGCATTTTGCACAGAATGCCCAAGGCTGGCACCTGGCTCCTCATCTTTTTGCACCCTGCCAGCAGTGGAGGGAGTGAGGACACTTGGCATGAGCAGCTTCACCCACTGAGCATTCCTGCCCACCTGAAGCCCAGCTCAGCAGCCTCACCGACACCACCAAAAGCTTTGGCTGGACTAAGCCAAGTGGCAATTCCAACTGAGCTGGTCCCTTCCCTGGCATGGGTGCCAGGGAGGCCTCTATTAGCCAGCCAGGATGAAGCCAGGATGCCACAACAGCTGAATACATGTCCTGAAGAGTGTAAGTCTTAGTTTTATATCACCCTTGAGCACAGCGAATCTCTGGGCTGGGAGCAGAATCAGGGTTGGGCACCATGCATTAAATAAAATTGATAGTTCCTTTCTTTAATAATGAGTTTAGTGTAGTCATTTAAAGCTCTCACAAAACTGATAGTAACTGGATTTAATGGGGCCTTCCCTGTCCTTGATATGACTCACATAACTCCTCATAGCATCTACATGAGCTGAAGTAGGTAGGGTGCAGCCAGGGGACACTGTTAAAACAGCTGGAATGACTTTTATTTAAAGACTTGAGGTTTTTTGTTCCTGAGAACTCCTCCCACGTCAGCTTTCACTTAATAATAATTTAGCAGGTGCTATTTACAATTCAGATGTCCCTCTTCTGCGTGCACACACAAATCACGCAGCCGCCCCACTTGTACTTCTAACAGGTTTCAGGAAAGCAAATGAGGTAAAGTTCCCTATCCACCCACGTCACCCCAAAGGGCAAAAAATACACTTTGGGGACTAAAGAAAGAACAGTTTGGAAGTCTCTGATGTTTTCTTCTGGTTTACTCCCAGCACTCACTGCTGATTTTTAAGTGTGGCCTTTGAGGTGGCAAGAGACCAAGGTGGTGCCCGGGACTGAGAAGGAAGTCAGACCTTCTGCAGTACCTGCAGAGCTGCCAGTGCTCTGTAACCAGAGGCTGCTTCCTGGCTGCTGCCAGAACGACAGAGCCTGCTTGAAAAATACTGTAGAGAGCACATGGTGTGTGTTCAGCATATAAATGATGCTCGCAAGACAATACTGAAATAAGTATCTTCCACTCCTCCCCAGAGAGGCACATGCCTGCAAACCCATACACACGCCCAGGCTGAGAAGGCAGTGAAAAGAGGATCTGCCAGGTATGGCTAATGAATTGCACCTTCAAAACAGCCATGTCTCAAGCACAGCACCCTTCTGCA